AATTCATCTTCTGCTTGTTCTCTTTCTGGCTGCCATAGAAACGGGGTGGGGGGGGGGATAATTGGGCTGAGGGAAGGGTGCTGGAGGATGAAGTGGATGTATTGTAAAAGTTGGGATGCTTTCTTAATTATGCTCACTTGCTTATTGCGCAGATGTAGCCCCTTGTCTCTCTAGGCCAAGGCCAACCGTCCTGGCATACCAGATGTGTGAAATATCACCTGAAGATGCACCCACATGACATGATACACACTTCAGATTGGACGGCCAGTTTGAACTATTGGGGGTGAGAACACTGGCATAACTTCCTATATGTGATTTTGGTGCCTGTTGCCTCAGATTTCTTGTATTTCTTCTGATGCTACCACTTCGATTTTCAGTAAAGGTCCTTTTCTCTGTAACAACGGAGTCTTCTTTCAAAGGTTTTCTTTCTTGGATTTGGAACGGAGCCTCACCTGACAAGAGGCCTCTGGGCTTCCTGAGGATCAGAACGTCCATGAGGGTCATTGGACCAGCAAATGGGAAAGAGCAAAAGCCCAGGCAGGAGGAAAATTGCAGCGTTGCCACTCACTTAGGCAGCCTCAGCTTACAACCATCTGGTTCAAAGTTACAACATCACTGCTTATAACTGCTTAAGCCAGGGGTCTTCAAATGTGACAGCTTTAAGACTTGTGGACTTCAACTCCCAGAATTCCTCCTCCAGTCATGTTAGCTCAGGAATTCTGGGAGTTGAAGCCCACAAATCTTAAACTTCCCAAGTTTGAAGACCATTGTCATAGATGATGGATGGATGGATAGATAGATAGATGGATAGGGATGGATGGATGGGGAGGCGACAGACAGACAGACATAGATGATAGACCAGGGGTCTTCAAACTTGACAGCTTTAAGACTTGTGGACTTCAACTCCCAGAATTCCTCCTCTGGTCATGTTGGCTCAGGAATTCTGGGAGTTGGAAGTCCACAAGTCTTAAACTTCCTAAGTTTGAAGATCCTTGGTTTCAGCAATCCAGTTGTCCCGGCGGCCCAGTTCAACCCTTGACTGATTCAGACTACTTGGTCACCCAGGGAGAAGGCCTGCTCTTGGCCACCGTTGTGCTTGATGGTTCAGAGGGCATCCAGAGACCCTCCTCTCCTTCCTCAAACTTCCCCATCTCTGTGAACCATCCCCAGCATACGGTCTCTGGCCAACAGCTGCCATGGCTCATCTCCAGCTTTGGCGCCTCTACAAAATCAAAGGAGTAATATTTGAAGAGTGATAGCATCGGCACTGGTGTCTCTCCGAAGGCCAGTTTTTTTCCCATTATGGAAGAGTTTGATGTAGACACATCGTTAAAAAAAAACAAACACCAAAAATACTGGAAAGCACACGGGCAATTATGAAAAGGCTCCATTGTCAACAAGGCTTCTTCTGTTCAAGAGATCAAGTCCTGAATTCCATTCACTTTTGCAGGGATTCTGACACCCCCATTTTTATGACTTTGTACTTCCAATATTGTTCCCTCCGCACCCGAAGCAATAAAAGAGGAAGAGAAGGAGGAGGTGTTGACTAGCACATGTAGTCTTTCATGGGTGTGGAAGTAGAGTTTGCTATGCTTCTTCTGCTCTGACACGGTCCGTGGACTAATGCAGAACATTCTCCTTGGCACAGAATCAGGGAGGAAGCTGGAGGAGAAGGTTGCATCAAGGATTTCCCATCTCTGAAACGCTCCAGCGGCGGTTTGGTTGATGGTCCTTATGGGGAACACCTGAGATCTTCCTGGAGCAGCTTGGAGACAGTGGCTCCTTCTTCACTTTCCTCAGCATCTCTGCAGAACCACCTGACCTTTTCACGGAGTCCAAGGTTTCTGTTTCCCCTGCCTCAGCTGTGTCCGTTGTCGGCAGCTCTTCAAACCCATTTTGTCACCAAATTTGTCAACAAAACCAGTGGTCCCCAACCTTTTTTGTACCACGGCCCAGTACAAATGATCCACGGATTGGTACCGGCATCAGCACGCACGACCAAGGCAAGGCAAGCCGAGCGACTAGCCAGCCAGCCGTCCCCCGCTTCTCCCCGCCACCTTCAACTCCTCCTTTGTACCCTCTCGCGGTCAATGGGCTTTTCGGGCTCTTTCTTAATCTCCTCCTGAGTAACGCGAGACTCCACCGCCATCGGGACGGCTCTTCGTTCGAAGCCGCCGCCACCCCTTCGACGAAACTAAGGCGCGAGGATTTCTTCAGCACCCAAGCGCCGCTTTCCAACCGACGACCAACAAGCTCACCCGGAAGCACTTTCTCAAGCGCCGTCGAAACAAGATGGCGGTGCCCAAGCAAAATAGGCGGCCCGGTACAAAATGATCTATGGACTGGTACCGGTCCGGGGTCTGGTGGTTGGGGACCCCTGAACAAAACGACACCTTTTAGTAACTACTCTTTTCTTTTTGTACAAACTTGTAATCTCCCTCTTGGCTTTCAAAACCTATTTTGGTTGCCTCCAGAAGGCTGGCTCTGAATTTAGGCAAGGAAAAAGTTTGAACCGCTCCGAAGTCTTTATCTTTTTTTTTTTTTTTCCCCCTGCAAGTGGGGTGGAAGATCTGCCTTCCAAGAAAGCCTCTATGTTTATTTGGCTTAACTTTCTCTTTCTCCGGCTTTGGCTGAGGGAAGGCAGATCGTGTGGGGCATTGTGCAAAGGAGGTATTTATTTACTGTATTTCAGTGAAGGTATTTCTCTGATATTTTCCTTCTTCCTACGTTTCCAGCCCAGGATAACTCAAATGAGCTAATCTGGGAGTCCCGACGGTGCTTTTTCAAAAAGCAGCTGGACTTTTTTCTTTTTTTCTTTTTCATTTGAAGAGGTTTCACTTCTCATCCAAGAAACTTCTTCAGTTCTTCGGTTCGGTTCGGTTCTGTTCTTCAGAAGCTTCTTGGATGAAGTCATAAATCCCTTTTTTTTTTTTCCAGCGCCGTTGCAACTTTGAACCATCACAAAACGAATGGTGCTAAGTTGAGGACCGCCCCTAGTTCTCCCCTGATAGCATCTTCCCCCTCTCGTCCTTAACCGAGAAACAAGCAGGGAATTATCCACCAGCACCATCCAGCCTGGCCAGCCCCGAAACTCCTCAGCCGCATCCCCGGCCTCCTCTCGGCCTTTCAGCTTTTCCTGATCAGTCATGCTGTCAGCAAAAAAACCCCAGACTTAACATCCTTCGAGGGGAGCCAGGAAGGCCTTTGATGGGTTGTGGGGGGAATTGGACGTTGATCGATAGGAGAGCCAGGGGGTGAATCCATCGGCCATTAAAACTCCCCAAGTGGCATTTCGGGCCTGTGGGGAGGCTGCCCCCATCACACAAAGATGAGCTGGAGGATAAATTTTAAGCCATGGCATCTTCTCAAGCAGGGGTCACCAAACTTGGCCACTTTAAGGGTCTGGAGACCCCTGCTCTCAGGTTCTAGTAAGCCCATTCTTCCCAAGGTCTTGCGTGGAAATCAAGCTCTTTTAACCACCTGCAGAGGGTTCGTTTTGCAGGTCACATTTGAGATGACCTCCCGTCCTCTTTTTGGAAGAAGGGACTTATTGTCGGAGATGACCAGGCTGAGCCTGAAGGTGGAGTCAAATGCATCATTAGTCTGGAGTCTCTACACCCCCAATAAGCAATCTAAGTCTATGCCCTTCAGAAGTCCGCTGAGCCTTCTTTGCCGCCAGCTGATCTTGATCTACTGTTAGTAGATCAGATTCTTGTAAACAGGTTGCATGGAATAAGTTCAGAGTGCTTTGAACTCTGTCCTAGTTCCTTGTGCCTGACGCTTATTGGGACAGGATCGCGTCCCGAGGAAAGGCACAGGAACCAAAACAAGTCAAAACGGCGGCCACAGTGGCATCTTTCTATGCCAATCACAGGTGCCATCTTGTGTTTTTTTGCACCATAAACGATCAACGCTGCATAGGCATCCCCTACTCTCTTGTCCTGCCTCCCCGAGGAAACAGGGGGATGGTGACAGAAGGCCTTCTGCAGGGCCAGGATAAGAGGCTACACCACGAGGAAGCATCTCCTCCCAAGTGGTATCCTGCAAATGTTTGGCAGAGCCGGGCAGGGTCCCACTTGGGCGCCAAGAAGGATGTGGCGAACCAGATTGGTTCAAGAGGAGAGCAAAACCAAAGCTTGTCCCCAGAGAAGCAGGTATAACAATATAATATAAAAAAGATGCTGAAATTCTAGAAAGGGCAACCAAGATGATTCAAGGCCAGGAGGCTAAAACATCTGAAGAACAATCACAGGGATTGAGTATGTCTAGTCTAGTAAAAAGAAGGACTGGGGGGTGACATTACAGCAGTCTTCCAATATTTGAGGGGCTGCCCCAAAGAAGAGGGGTGGGTCAAGTTATTCTCCAAAGCATCAGAAGGCAGGACAAGAAGCAATGGGTGGAAACTAATCAAGGAGAGAAGCAACTAAGAAATAAGAAGAAATTTACTGATAGTGAGAACAATTAATTAGTGGAGCGACTTTCCTTCAGAAGTTGTGAGCGCTCTGGAAACTTTTAAGAAGAGACCGAAAAGCCACTTGTCTGAAATGGTAGAGGGTCTTCCTGTTTGAGCCTATACCATTTCAGGTTGGAGCCGGGGGTTGGGCTAGAAGACCTCAAAGGTCCCTTCCAACACAGGGCCGTCTTAACAGCATTATGGGCCCTGGGCAAAGCAGTTGTATGACAACCACTCACAGGAATAAACATGTAAAAGGTTGATAAAAAATTAAACATATATATTTGCATGTTAGCATTAATTTAAAAATGCAGTGAAATGAAATAAATATGTTGCTGTGTTTATATGACACAAGGTACACTGGAGGGTTAGCACACACAGATTAGTATGGGGCCCCTAGGCTCGTGGGGCCCACGGGCAAGTGCCCATCAGGCCCTGTTCCAACACTGTTCTTCCCTTATTCCTTTTAGGCCCCACGGCCTTCTGCTCCACCCACCACCCCGCTCCCGGTGACCGGCTCCGGAGCCCAAGCAAGAAGCATCCTTACGTTCGCACTCTGCCACGTCCAGGCTGAATTGCTGCAGGGCGCCCAGGGAGAGCTGTCGGACTTCCGCTTCCAGGAGCTGCTGCATCAGCGAGGTGGACAGGTGTTTGCAGGCAGACATGCAGGCGGTCTGAGCCACCTTGCCCTGGAAAGCAAACACAGGGGAGGCTCCAGGTGAGTCTCGGAGGAGGAGGAGCCCGGGAGAAGAGCCCGCACAGCTGGTGTGACCCCCAGCAGCCCCTCTTTCTCAAGCAGCTTCCCCACAAGCCATCCATCCTCCATGCTCTCCCATCTCAGTGGAAGCAGCTCATCACAATAGGCCCCTCAGAATAGACAGGGAATAAAAGAGGAGTCTATACACTAATAGAAAATAGAATTTAGTAATATAATCCAAATAAGTCAAGACAGTAGATGGGAATTTAGGATTGGGTAATTAAACTGTATTATTAATATTAATAATATTAAGCACTACTATTACTATTACTATTATCTAATCGTTCCTATCATCCATCCCCTCCCACTTGTGACTGTTTGACTGTAACTTTGTCACTTGTATGCCTACGATTTTTATTGACTGTTTCCCAGTATGATTTGATTGCTGATTGTACCCTATGACTATCATTAAGTGTTGTACCTGATGATTCTTGACTCTTGATGAATGTATCTTTTCTTTTTATGTGCACTGAGAGCATTTGCACCAAGACAAATTCCTTGTGTGTCCAGTCACACTTGGCCAATAAAGGATTCTATTCTATTCTATTCTTATTGTATCCTATGACTATCATTAAGTGTCGTGCCTGATGATTCTTGACTCTTGACGAATGTATCTTTTCTTTTATGAACACTGAGAACATTTGCACGAAGACAAATTCCTTGTGTGTCCAATCACACTTGGCCAATTAAGAATTCTATTCTATTCTCCTATATTTGGTGCCTCTACATTTACTGTATTTCTGCCTCTACATTTGACAGGCTCCTCTCCCAAGAGTCAAAGCAAAGACGCACCATATAAAACCTGCACATGGAAACCCGCCTACCAGGGGTGGGATTCAAAAAATGTTTACTATCGGTTTGGTGGGTATGGCTGGTCAGGCCCGCTTTGCGCGTGTGCACACACTTTGTGTGCACATGTGCACCAAACACGCACTCTGCACAGGCGCAAGCCTGCACTCTCCCGGTCGCTTCAGCAGTTGCTGTGCAACACTCTGCTGTGCCGCACGAAGCAGCCGCGCTTCAAAAGCGGGATAAAGGTGAGTGTTGGAGACCGGCAGGGCAGATGGGCCCAACAGCAGAGCGGTGGAGAGAACCGTTTCGGTCTCTGCTGCTCATCGGCACTACCAGCTCAGCAGAACCAGGCCAAACCGGCAGAATGCCACCACTGCCGCCTACCCTCCAAAGCGATCTGAAAATAATCCAAATAATTCAAAACGGTCATCTGGAAGAACCCCAAAACTTAAGACCATGGCGCTGCAGGCGCCAGCAGAGGCTGGAGAAGCCTGATACCTCAAACTCTCCACAAGGCCTCAAGGGGCCAATCTCTCAATTACAGGCAATCCTTGACTTATAATTATCTGTTTAGTGACCGTTCGAAGAGGCAACAGCTTTGAAAAAAGGGATTTATGACTGTTTTTCACACTTACGACCAGCATCCCCACGGTCATAAGTCATAGGATCAAAATTCAGGTACTTCCCACACGACTCCTATTTATGACGGTCACAGTGTCCCGGGAGGGGAGTCTCGTGATCCCCTTTTGCGACCATCTGACCAGCAGAGCCAATGGGGAAGCCGCGTTCACTCAACAGCCATGTTACTCATTTAACAACTGCAATTATTGCCTTAACAACTGTGCCAAGGAAGGTCGTAAAATGGGGCAAAACTCATTTAACAACCGTCTCATTTAGCAATGGAAATTTTGGGCTCGATTGTGGTCGTTAAGTCGATCCCTGCCTCTACCCACTAGGTGAAACAGCTCTGCCTTATCTCTGCCGCTGTTTGGCGTCGGTGAGCCCTGCTTCCAGTTAACTTCACCCCCAAGAGGCCATGGCTTCTGTTGGCTTCCCCAACGGGCCCTGCCTGCCACGGAGGCACAGATACGGTAGCTTTTTGCCAACCCCTTTCCTGGCTCTTCCTCCTAGCCGGATCCTTCTCAGCATTTCTCATTCTAGGAGTTGAGCCTTCTTCCTTCCTGCGAAGCCCACTTGTGTCAGAATTTGCAGCAGAAATTCAAATCCAGAAAGCACTCACAGATGATTGATTCAGCAGGACTCATTAACTTCTTTATATACATAACAACATTTGAAAGTGAAGTTTACAAGACCAATAGTAGATTCCTCCAACGTGGCAAAGGTTACAAGCAAAAACACAAGCAGCAGCTTCAGAGCTCAGAGGTTTCGTTTCACTATAAAGCTCAGATAAGTTTCGTTTCTTCAGAGCTGAGCACAGAGCTAAGCCGTGCCCAGACTCCTTCCAGTCTCAGCCCCCAATTCACCCCCATTGGCTGACCTTGTTACCCATGTCTCTGCCAGTTCATGAATATTCTGACAACCTGCCCGTCTGACGGCCTCCTTCAATCCAGAGAGACCCTTTACTTCTTCTTCTAACTAGCAGAGGTTCTGACTGCCGGCAAACCTAAGAATTCGTGGTTAGCTCTAAACCAGGGGTCTCAAACTCAATTTACCTGCGGGCCGCTGGAGGCAGAATCTGGGTGAGGCTGGGCCGCATAAGGGATTCCACAAAAAACGTTGTTAAAAAAAATCCCCAAATGTTATACTTTCGTATCACGGTGGGGGGGCCACAGGATATTGTTCTGCGGGCCACAATTGGCCCGCGGGCCGCGAGAATGAGATCTCTGCTCTAAACCATCTGCAAAGACCTTCAAGGCCAATGTGGGGGTGGGGGGGAATCCCAGAGTTTAACCACCCCCTACCCAGAGGGCTTCTCTTCCAAAGTGGGCATCAGGCACCCCTGATGCTGTTGTGGTTCACCGGCAGCAGATGTAGATGGTTGAGGTCTCGGAGAGTGAGGACTCAGATGAGGGGCCTGCGTGTGATGCAAGGATGGGGCCAGGACTATCAGAGAGTGGAGCGCTGCCTTCAGAGCTTGTGGAGGCTGGCAGCTGTGAGGAAGAGGTCCCCGAGGAGCCTGTGCCCAGTGCGCATACATGCAGGGCTACTTGAAGGAAAGAGCAGCTGCAGCAGCACAGGAGACTCAGGAGTAAGGCTGCAAGGTGATGGCCCCTCCTTTAAGGGATAAAAGCCAGCCCTCAGAGATGGGACTCTTTGCAGGAAGCAAAGACGTTCTTGCACTTCAAGCCTTGTGGAAGTGAAGATTATCCTGGTTTGTGTTTGGAGACTTTTGGCTTTGAATAAACCAAATTCCTTACAATTTAATCTAGCGTTCTTGGCAGCCTTGCACAACCTTGGCAAGGCTCGTTCTTATCTGGGACAATTAGTTTTTCATCGCGCTTTACTGTGAATGAATGAAATTCACAGGGAAGCATTAAAAAGGTTTTGCTTTTATCTTTGTTTGGTGTTAAAAAAAGCTTTTGCCTTTATCTCTTTTCGGTGTATGTTTGCTTTGAGCGAGGCTTGGGTCAGAACAGACGCCCCCTGCAAAGTCGGCTTCAAGACAGAGAGGACGACGAAGGTGGCGCCCTCCGCAGCCTTCCAGGATGGGGCAGCTGTGTTCTGCACAGATCCAGAAAAGGGAGCCTTTGGCGAGAGGCGCCAATTCTAGTCTCGGGCACACCCTGAAGCTCTTTCGGAGAAAAGCTCAGAATGCGGGCCGGGGCCTGTCAAAAGGCCAGGGGGACATCAAAGGAAGCGAAATGTTCTTAGGTCAGCTGGAGGCTTTGACACGCTGGAAGATTAGTGAAAGAGGATTGGACTTTAGAGGGAACCATGAGAGCTTCCCAGAGATTTCCCTTTCTCCGCACAAGCCCTCAATCTCGGCCTCCTTAGGAACATCAGCCCCAGCCGGAGAAGTGGCGTCACGTTTACGGAAGAGATCCGTATAACTCTGTCAGAAAACACAGAATCTTCTTACACCTGAGTTCTTTTGAAAGAAACCTTGGGCAGGCCAAGCAAAACAGAGCATTTATTCCCAGGCTATCGGCAAGATCCTGAACTTACAACTAGTTCATTTAGTGACCGTTCAAAGTTACAACAGCACGGAAAAAAGTACTCCGAGAGTCCTTGAGACCACTTGGAGGCCTACCTGCACCCCCAGGGTCATCGGGATAGGGCAAATAGGTGTGGAACCTAGGTTAACCTCCAAGCGACTTCAATAATTCTTGGAGAGAGTACTAATGACCGGAGGCTTGCAAAGAATACAAATCTTTCCGTTCTCCACTCTTTAGACAGAGCTGAAGAAGCTTCTTGGATGAGAAGTGAAACATCTCAACGGAAAAAAAACCAAGGAAGTCCAGCTTCCTTTTGAAAAAACACCTTTGGAACAACCATGACCTGGATGACCAAGAATCTCCCTAGATCAGGGGTCGCCAATCTTTTGGACCTCAGGGACCATCAGACTCATCATTTTAAATCCTGCGGACCAGAGACCCTGGGAAAATTCCAAAAAAAAGTCTGCAGGAAAATTCCCCACCCCGTTTTCCTACCGATCGATCATTCTTGACTTGAGATCGCAGGATACCGTCTCCAGCTCTGTTCTCAGGGGGAGAGAGGGAGAGAGACTTTTGGCTTCATGCAAGGAAAGCAGCAGAAGCAGCAGACATTTTTCTTTCTCTCCCCCAAACTCTGACAGAAATGAGTCTTTGTGAGACTTGTCACGCCAGCGCAGCCTCTTGGAGCAGGAGGCCTTGCAGGGTCCCAAAGATTCATTTCTGGCAAAGTTTGGGGGAGAGAAAGAAAGACTTTTGCTGCTTTCCTTGCATGCAGCCAAAAGCAGAAGAAGAAAGAAGTGGAAAGAAGCAGCCCGGTGGCCAGGCCAGGCATGTGGGGTGAGTGGGGCAAGTCCCCTCTCCCCTCACAACCTCGTGTTGTTTGCAATGCAAGCGACGCAAGCCTTATGTTCCCATGGGCCATGTGGGTTGTGCAGCTTTGTGTTCCCGCGCAGCCTGCGTTAATTGCTTTGGAGGGTGACATTTCTCTGCAGACCACCAAAATTTTCTGGCGGACCACAAGTGG